AAACCAATCTCATATTTATTTTTGAAAATGTTGAAGTCCCTTCTAATTGATCAAATAAATCATTAATTTATGGAAATGAATATTATTCTTGATAGTGAGCTTATCTAATCCTGTAATAAATATATATACCCTGGACTCTTATTCTTTTTCTTTACAAATAATATTGGTGTTCCCTAAACTGATGTGCTAGGCCTGCTAAACCTCTTATCTAATAGTTCCGGTAATTTATTTCCTATTTTTTAATTATCATTTTGTACAATATTATAGTTATTGGCTCAGACTAACAAAAACTCAATAATAAAATTTGTCTCCCCAACTAGTGAGAGTCCAGATAAATCATCTAGAAAAAATATATGGATATTCTTTTACCACTGGAATCTCACTATGTTGTTTCACTTCTTTGTGATCCTTCACCTGAGCAAAATTACTTAATTTTTCTAGTTTAATAATTTAAAAGCCTTCAAATATATGATTATCATATATATCAACTCTACCGTCACAAAATTTGATGTCCTTTCTAAATACGTTAATTTTAGCTGTCTTCTTATTACAATCTATGGTTGTTAGAAATCAATCCATACCTAAGGTTGCATCGTATTCATCGAATAACAAATAATTGTTTGTGCCTCTAAATACAAAAAAAAAAAATAATAATGCATCAAAATTTCTTTTACAAATACTCAAATTTACTTGACATTTTAACGGAGAAAATTATTAAAATTACTATAATATTCAAATTTATTAGTCTAATTAGATCTTCTACATTCAATAAGTGAGTTGTCCCTGTATTAAATGGTATTCATATTAGTCTATTCTAGAGGGATGTTATACTTTTAATAAGATAAGAATGATTAAACACTCAAAATGAATTATTTAATATGTAATTGAGTATATGATATTATGAATGAAATGTACTCTAATGCAATTAAAATTTTTTGAATGTAAAATATATTGTTGATTAGATGAAGTGAGTCCTTAACTTATTGCTTTGATAATGCATATACCATGGATTGAATGTTCTGTTGGGTTTGACTTTGATTTGACATTGATCCTACAGACTCAACTATCATATGTCTGTCAAAAGTTTTCTAAGATGATGTAACATTGGCCCTATCTCTATTAGAGCTCTGTTCTCTATCCCAAAGTAGGGCAATTCCTCGTGTTTTAGTGGGTGACACCGAAAATAAGTATCAGATTCAGATAGATACTCACCCTTATGAAACTTTTAACACTTGTCACACTTCTTCGTATCACTCTAATTTTCAAATCTATTGGATTTAGTCTTTTTAGTAATTGATTTTTCTGATTAAGATGATTGCTTAATCTATGAACTCTGTAGAACCTTAATCCTTCTATACTCTCTTTTTTGAAAATCTACTCCTTTGAGTAGCTTGTAAGTTCAGATCAATTATTCTAGCCATCTTTTCCAATATAGAATAGTCATCAATCCTAATGGGAATCAATGACCGTCTAATTATATCATGTAATCCAGAAAGAACCTGTCATTTCTCATATGTATTTGAAATTAGTTGCGGTGCATACTTTGAGATTATAGTAAACTCAGCTTTATACTGCATGATCGAATGACCACCTTGAACCAATCTAATAAACTTCTACATCTTTTCCTAATTGAATATGCTACAAACCAATCTCTAAATGTCTTGCAAATTTCTTCTACTGCCTAAATGACTAGGTCACCACCGAACTTCTCTTGTAACAACTCTTGCTACCATATAAAGACAAAAGTATAAAATGTAACTCTTCTAGTGTACATGTTATACCATTTATAATTTTCTCCATCATCACCATCAATTTTTTGTTTCTGTTGAACTTCCTCTTCCAAAGTAGAGAGTAATCTCATACCCTAAGATATCTTTAAATATTTATTCATCTTTGTTTCTTTAAAACTACTGATTTGAGACTGAATTTTTTTAATTGAATTACGACAATCATCTGATTAAAAACATCAATATTAATAGTGATATTCCACGACATTTCAACTCTCTTTATATTATTGTCTTACTTCTTAATTATCCTTATTTTTTGAAATAAAAATAAAACAATTCAATTAGACTAAAATAAAGTAGTAATTTTTACTTTTGATAAATTTCTAAATCAACAAAATGATACTTTTTTATTATAATAAAACCAATTATGTCTTTATCACTTGTCACAATTCGACCTAGAAATTTGGAATATCAAGGTAGGAACAGACGGTCAAATAATAGTAACAATACTAATGAAAGAAAACTAAAGATAAAATAATAATATTTAATATCTATTTTTACTTGAACAACTTCTGTGATAGACATAATATCTCATGTCAATCATTTTAGTTTAATTGAGTTTTTCTTAAAAAAAAATAGTTAAATACATTAAATTTACAACAATGTAGTCAATAATTAAATCTTTATGGACACTTTAATATGAATGCTAAGAAAAAGGATGATTATTCTTTGAAGTAAAGTTTAAATGTTATTGTGTGTGTGAGAGAGAGAGACATTATTGTTATTCTCTTAATACTAAATATTTTTGGGAAAGAG